CATTTTTGTTGTGCTAATTTTTGAGACCTGATTTTTTTTTGAGAAAATAACAATGGTGAAGACGACTCACGGCTAAATTGTTTTTCAAGTAGAATCCAGTGGCATGACTAGTTTTTTTTCTTTTTTTTTTTGAGATGCCACTGATTTTGGAATAGTAACCCTGATGTTAAGTTGTATTTTATTAAATGGGACACACCGTATATTATTTTTTCATTGCATAGCTCTTTTCAAGATGATTTCAATGATATAAGGTTTTATAGTTTTACCTTCGAAAGTTTTTGAGAAAAAATAAATTCCGTTTCTTTATAATAAACAATGAATTAGAAAGAGATAGTTGAAATATAAATCGGCTACAAATTTCTATTCTTAATTCAACATTTCCACAAGTATGGTTTTTTATTAATTTTTTTCAATTTGAACTATGAAATGGGGGTGATAATGATAAATAAGCAACACATAATTTATTTCATGACTTATCTCTTTCTAGCTCATTATTTCTTGTGGAGAAACGGAATTTATTTTTTCTCCAAACGTCAAAAAATTGCGTGTTGCATACGGAGAAGAAGCACTTTTATGTGCTTCAGCAGTATTGCAAGTCTCACTACGTTCGGCACGCAAACCTACTGCTTCAGCAAAAAAAGTAATGCTTCTACTCCTAATATAACAATATACTATTTTTCCTTAAAAACAATTTACAGTAAAGTTATAAAACATTATATCATTGGAATCAGCTGAAAAAAGCTATGCAATGGAAAAATAATATACGGGGTATCCCATTTAAAAAAAAAAACACAACTTTGATTAATACATATTCCAAAATCGGAGGCATCTGGAAAACAAAATTGGTCATGCCACTGGATTCTACTTGTAAAACTGCTTCTAGGAAGTATTTTTGGTTTTTGGACACCTTGAATAATAAAAAAATTTGAAACTCTTTTAAAATTGGACAAAATTTGGAAACTGCCATGTATTTCCTTAACACATATCAAGTTAGCTGTGATCTGTCCTCGCCATTGTTATTTTTTTAGAAAACAGCTTCAGAATGTGCTCTTATATTTTTATACTCGTTTTTATATCTCTGCACTGCTGGTTTTCGATATAGCCTATTAAAACATCGAAAACGGGTCACTCTGTAGACTAGACACCTATCTATAAACTTATGAATGAAAAACTAAAATTAAAATCATAAAAATCCAAAAGATAGTGAAAAAATTGAATGAAATATGTTCCGCAATCATATTTGCAATCCCAGAAATCACTTTGCAATCCCAAAAATCACCTAGCAATCTCAAAAATTAGTTCGCAATCCCCTCTGCAGTCTCTGCAGTCCCCCTGCAGTCTCTGCAGTCTCTGCAGTCACTGAAATCGTCTCGCAATCCTCCGAAATCGCATCGCAATCCTCCGAAATCGCAAATTTTTAGAGAAATTCTCCGAAATCGCTGCAATCATTTGGAAATCATAGGATTTCCACAATACATGTACATATTTTTCGGGAGTGGTCGCCCCCTCGGTTCTTGAAATACTTTTCAATGTACTTTAAGTCCTTGTACTTGATGAAATCAAGTACAATGCAAAGTATATTCATTATTAAAAATAGTTCAAGTACCAAGTATAAATACTGTTTATCGATTTACCTCAAGTAAAATAATTCAAGTACTTACAAGTACAATTTCAAGTAAGTTTCTTGAAGTACCTGATTCAAGTGATTAATTCCCGCTGTTTCGTAAGATCAAGTAATTCTTCTGTAATCCACCTATTATATTCTCTCTACATCTTATTACAGTCTTGGTCAAGGGGCAAACCACCTAGGAATTCTTTACTAAAAATGTGGGGAATTTACAGGAATTTATGGGGAATTTGAAGACACTCATCGGAATTTATGAGAATTTGAGGAATTTATAGGGAATTTAAAGGAAATTGTGAAGTCATGACATCACTGAGGTTCACATTCTTATCATAAGAAACACTAATTCATAAATGGTAATTTAAAAAAAAATCTTGTTTTGTGTTGAACGTTGGACATTCATTTTCATTAAAGAAATTCTCCCAAAATTACACTTCATGATTTACAGGTGCAAATTTAAAAAATTCAAAACAATAATATTTTTGTAGGCTGATTTCCAAGATTCTTCATGTTGTTATTTTCCACTGGAAAAATGAGCTTCTAACCTTCCTCGTCACATGTGAAAAGTTTCAAATTTTTTCAATCACTAGTTTTCCAGGAAAACTTTGAAATGTGTGAGAGTGTATTCTCAATTAATTCAGTTATTGTAGGTTGATTTCCAAAATTCCTCATTTCCAAAATTCCTCATGTTGTTATTTTCTACTGGAAAAATTTGAAATTTTGGGAAAATGAACCTTTAACCTTTCTACTCTTCACATGCAAAAAGTTTCAAATTTTATCTTTCACTAGTTTTCTAGGAAAACTTTGAAATGTGTGAGACTGTATTTTTAATTAATTCAGTTATTGTAGGTTGATTTCCAAAATTCTTCATGATGTTATTTTCCACTGGAAAAATTTGAAATTTTGGGAAAATGAACTTTTAACCTTTCTACTCTTCACAGGCAAAAAGTTTCAAATTTTTGCCTTCACTAGTTTTCCAGAGAAACTTTGAAATGTGTGAGACTGCATTTTCAATTAATTCAGTTATTGGAGGTTGATTTCCAAGATTCTTCATGTTTTTATTTTTCACTGGAAAAATTTGAAATTTTAGGAAAATAAGCTTCTCACCTTCCTCTTTATATGCAAAAAGTTTCAAATTTTTTTCCCTCACTAGTTTTCCAGGAAAACTTTGAAATGTGTGAAAGTGTATTTTTAATTAATTCAATTATTGTAGGTTAATTTCCAATATTTCTCATGTTGTTATTCTCTACTGGAAAAATTTGAAATTTTGTGAAAATGAACCTTTAACCTTTCTACTCTTCACATGCATAAAGTTTTAAATTTTTGCCTTCACTAGTTTTCCAGGAAAACTTTGAAATGTGTGAGACTGCATTTTCAATTAATTCTGGTTATTGGAGGTTGATTTCCAAGATTCTTCATGTTATTATTTTCCACTGGAAAAATTTGAAATTTTGGGAAAATGAGCTTCTCACCTTCCTCTTTACATGCAAATAGTTTCACATTTTTCCCTTTACTTACTAGTTTTCCAAGAAAACTTTGAAATGTGTGAGACTGTATTTTCAATTAATTCAGTTATTGTAGGTTAATTTCCAATATTCCTCATGTTGTTATTCTCTACTGGAAAAATTTGAAATTTTGTGAAAATGAACCTTTAACCTTTCTACTCTTCACATGCAAAAAGTTTTAAATTTTTGCCTTCACTAGTTTTCCAGGAAAACTTTGAAATGTGGAGACTGCATTTTCAATTAATTCTGGTTATTGGAGGTTGATTTCCAAGATTTTTCATGTTGTTATTTTCCACTGGAAAAATTAGAAATTTTGACCTTTCTCTTCACATGTAAAAAGTTTCAATTTTTCCTTAATTAGTTTTCCAGGAAAACTTTAAATTGTATGAGACTGTATTAACAATTATTTCAATTTTTGATTTCTATGATTTCTCATGCTGTTACTTTCTAATGGAAAAATTTGAAATTATAAGAAAATGAACCTCTAACCTTCCTCTTCACATGGAAAAAAAACAAAATTTGCAGGGATTTAGAGTAATTTGTGGGGTATTTGGAGAAATTTGTGGTGGGGTTTTTGGAGGAATTTGTGATGGGGTATCTGGAGGAATTTGTTGGGAATTTGGAGGAATTTGCAGGAATTTTGAGGAATTATGCGTAAAAAATTACCATTTGAAGAATTGTTTGCACATATTCTGGTATGGTGGTTTACTCCTTGGTCCTGGTATGCTCGCACTAGCTTTTGCAGGCACAAATTACTTGAATTAACTGTCCAAATGATTCAATTTCTACTGTGTTCCCGGTCTTCCTGAATACATCTTTAAACTTGTCATGTAGGGTCCAAGTGGTGAAAATAAAGAATTTCACGGGGAATTTCATCTCGTCCATAATTTATGTATTGTCCAGATTTCCACAGGGGGACATCTGTCACCTTTATTGTTGAATTGCTGCATAAATTATGTTTTGGTCTTCATTCTTTACATTCGTGTATTGATATACCTACGCGGATGACTTGAAATTGTATAGACTGGTTTCAATATTAGAGGACTCTAGACAGCACAAGCAGATCTCAATTGCCTTGCTCTCTGGTGTAGGAATAATGACTTTGATTTAAATGTTAAGAAAAGCAAGGTTATTTCCTTTTTTGAATGTCATGTAGTCATAATATACCTAGATACTCTTATGTGTATTACTTGGACAGGAACTGGAAAGATTTGGGAGTAACTTTCAATCAAGATCTTATGTTCAATATCCATATCGAAAATATTTGCAACAGAGCCTTAAAACACCTTGGCTTTGTAGTCCGCACTTTGAAAGACTAACAATATTTTTGCATTAAAAACTGTTTATTGTTCAGTGGTAAGATCCATAATTGAATATGCTTGTCCTGTCTGGTCCCCAAGCTACCAGGTTTGTATAACTATGCTGGAAAGGGTTCAAAGACGATTTCTTAGACATAAAGGCTATAGACTAGGAATTCCGTTTGAAAATATCAACTTTGATGAATTATGTATATGTATTACTATTACTTCACTTTCCTATGTTAGAAATCTGCAGGAGAAATTTTGGCATTCGTTGTCTGTATAAAATTGTAAATCATTTATTTGATTGTCCTCCCCTGCTTGGAAGTATAAATATTCATGAATGATTATTATTATTCTTATTATTATTTATGCACTTTTGACTGCTACTGTTATCCATAACTCTTGTTGCATTGACTAAATTTATTTCGTTTACAATAAAGAAATTATTCAATGATATGGTACTTTTTAAATTTCTTAGCAGCAGTGTGGTGTTGTGTCATCTCCAAGTAAATCAATAGTATGACTATTTATCATTATTGAAAATGCAACTTAGGTTTATTTTCTTTCTAGTAAGTTTTCACTATGAGTGGGAGATCATGGAGAGGAAGAAGGGCAGGTAGACAGAGACATTCTGGGGAAGCCTCAACTTCTAGACATTCTCATTCTCGACCACCGGGTTTAAGAGGACGAGAAATAGGCCTGTGGTAAAATATATTTATTTGACTCCTCAACTAAATAATACAAATAAGGATAATTTCTTATTTAGGTATAGAGATCAGGGGAGAAGAGGAGGACGCTCAGATAAGTCCACAAGAGATGACTTGAATACTAAACCAGTAAGACATTTTTTATATTTATTCAATATGCACTGCTAATTAAAATATTTTCTTTCAGCTAAGTACAATACTAATTTCCCAGAATAAGAAAAATGCCATTGAACAATTACTCGATGAAACTTCTAATTTACATCCTACATCTTCTTCTGACAAAAGCGGGTCCTATAAACACTTAGAAGAAACAGAATTCAAACATGAATTTCTAAAGCACAAAGGTGGAAGTATTATTGATAAATTAAAGTCCATACACGAGAGCAGATCCAAATTTAAAAACATTATCGAAGATGATAGGCTTTTATTAGACATGCAAAGAAAAGAATCTAGTAGTAATTATAAAAAAATGCTAGAATTCAGGAGCAAACTTCCTTCCATGAAAATGAAAGATGAAATTTTAAATTTAATAGAACATAATCAAGTAACTGTAATTAGTGGAGAAACTGGCTGTGGCAAGACAACACAAGTAGCTCAATTTATTCTTGATGATTTTATTAAAAAATCTAAAGGCTCAGAGTGTAAAATCATCTGTACACAGCCACGCAGGATTAGTGCGATATCTGTGGCAGAGAGAGTAGCCTGTGAAAGAGACGAAAAATTAGGTGAAAGTGTCGGATTTCAAATAAGATTAGAAAAAATGATGCCCAGAGAAAAAGGCTGTATTTTGTATTGTACAACGGGTGTTTTATTAAAATTGATGGAAGGTAATCCAGGATTACACGATGTTTCTCATGTAATCTTAGACGAAATTCACGAGAGAGACGTTATGACAGATTTTATGATAACTTTACTGAAAGACGTTATCAAATATCGAAATGACTTGAAAGTTATATTGATGAGTGCCACATTAAACTCTGAAGCTTTTTCGAAATATTACAATAATGCGCCTCACTTAAATATTCCAGGTTTTACTTATCCTGTTCAAGAATATTTTCTAGAAGACGCCTTAGCTTTAACAGGATTTAAATTTGATGAATATGATAGAACAAGTAGGAATAAGTCGGAGAAATATCAAGAATGGCTGGAACTTTTTGGGCCATATTTCAGGCAATTGGCGGCTGAAGGAAAATATTGTAAAAGTGTTATTACCGAACTTAGCAAACCCCAATCAGAAGAATTAAATATTTTTCTGATTTTTGCATTAATTAGGAAAATTTGTGAAAACTTTGACGATAACGGAGCCATTTTAGTTTTTGTACCGGGCTTTGGTGAAATCCAAAAAATTTGTAACAAAATCGAAGAAAGTATATATTTCCCTAGATCGAAATACATAGTTATTCCTTTACACTCTCAGCTGCCCACAACAGAACAGAAACAAATTTTTAATCCAGCTCCAAGAGGTAACAATTTTATATATTTTAAGACATGTAGTGAAGTTGAATGAGTAGATATTTAGTGGCTTAAGGAAGATTTTTGAATTAGCAATGATATGAATATTTCGTCGTTTTTTTATATGGGATTGAGACTTTTGTCTTATGCCGGCTCCAGATCAAGCAGACAAAACAACGACAAGGCAAAGACATTCATGTCTCGCGACAAATCCGATACATTTCTGCAACATTTTTGTATTTTTTTTGTTTTGTTTCCAAATTCCGAGACTTTTGAAAGTCCCGTCGTGAGTCGGTAAAGATCAAAGAGTCTCTGTTTTGTCTGTGTATTTTACAAGTTGTCGGCACAGTGTGGACGGGTGTGCTGACAAAAGTAGGAGACCGGTGTCGATCAGTAGAAAATCACACAAATTTCTGTACTTCTGTTGTTGTGTTATTGTGTACTCACGTAACTGAACTAACAATGTATTAATGGAATAATTTTTTCGCTTTTTTAAGCTTGGTCTTACCCAAAAACGTTTCCGAACTACACAAATGAAGAGTATGCTTCTACTTCACACCAGACTACAATGTGCAATCAATCTAATCAGGTTCAGGTTTTGCTTGAGGATGTGGAAGGTCATTTTCATGTTTGCAGGGTGTTGGCGTAATGGTTGATATTTTAGAATCACCTTCGGAGTTACGTGGACTGTAAGCGCAACTAATGAATATGTAGCAAAAAAATAACCATACAAAAGACAATATGATAAAAGGCGCCTTACCTGTGTTTCTGGAGTTCTTCTAGTTCAAAGTTAATTGTTAATACCGGGATCCCGGGTTTTGTTTCGGTTGCACAACACTACCGGCTTTTATTTCGAAACCGGTAACCGGCGAGCTCGCGATATTCATCGACTTTCTTGTGCGCGAAAACGGATTAAAAAATGTGTGTTCGTGTTTCGTGTTTGGCGAAAAGAGAGAGAGTGTTTCGCCGTCGCTTGGCTGTACGAATCGAGTGTTTTTTCGTACCTTTTTTGTCGACCTCGGTTCCATACCGAGGGCGCTGGTGTTCCTTGCAATGGAGGCGCTATACCTATTTGAATTTGTATGGTTTTTCAATATGAGCAAAATTCGCGACTTTGACACTCTTGAAGAGATTCACATACACAGGCCATTGCTAGACAGTGGATCGATGTCCAATTTCATATCTCAGGAATTTCCAATAAAGCTGGGATTACCCCAACACTCTGTGAATGTTTCAGTTAGTGGTATTGAGGAGACCCAGGCTCGTGTCAAAAAATCTTGTGACATGTCACATTAGGTCTAGAAATTGCAATTTCAACGCTAATCTTTATTGCCTTATCTTACCAAAAAGTTACAGAAAGGCTTCCTTCAGTATCTATCAATCCTAATTTTCTAAATATATCTTCAGACATTCAACTTGCCGATCCCACATTTTTCAAATCTAGCAATATTGACCATTTGATTGGTGCAAGCTTGTTCTGGACACTTATCTCCAACTCCAAAGTGTACAAGGTCGCTTGGTAAATGCAAACCAATATTGCAGAACAGCAAACTTAGTTGGCTTATTTCCGGAGGTTTTTCCCAGAATGAGTTCGACTACGGTTTGCCATTTCTCCAGAAATTCAGTCTCAGTTAACGAGGTTTTGGAAAATTGAGGAGGTTTCTTCAGGTAATCGTTTATCCACTGAGGAACAGAAAGCCTAGCAACATTTTCAAAAATCATTTTGTCCTAACAAACAGAGGTTTGTTGTATCCATATCTTTGAAGGACTCTCCTTCTAAGTTAGGTGATTCCAAACAATGGGCAACAAACCAGTTTTTCTCTATGGAGAAAAAACTTTTTTCCAAACCACCATTCGAAGAGATTTACACTTGATTTTTGCGGGAATATGTGAGCTTGCAACACATGTCTCTGTACACTTCTATCAATGATCAAATAACACACTTCTCATCACATCACGGTGTGCTTCGTGAGGAAAGTGTGATCACAAAATTCAAGGTTGTTTTCAATAGTTTATTTGATCTTTGACTGGTAAATCAGACACTTCATTGCAAATGGTCGGTCCGACTGTACAGGAAAACCTTTTTTCAATCCTTGTTCGGTTCAGGCAGCACTCATATGTTTTTTCTGCAGATATTTGCAAAATGAATAGGCAAATCCTTTAGCAGTCCCAAGGTGGAAAAAAATTTCGAGAACTATCTAATAATTAGGTGCTTTTTAGGTGCTATTAGGGCCTGTAATTGAAAATTAGGTGCTCCTTTAGTTTTTGAGAAAATCAAAAAAAACTAAGGGACTGCTAGGTTTATAAAAGCTAGCAGTCTCCTATAGTGAAAAATATTTTTTCAATTTTTTTCTTTGTATTAGAATTAGGTGCTTTTTAGGTGCTCCTAAATAGTCCAAGAAAAAATAGAATGGGTCAATTATTAACTGAGTTACAGATTTTTTTTTTTTAATTATTAGGGGACTGCTGGCTTTACGTTTACATGTTAGTGTGTCAGAATGGAAAAAAAAACTTTTGGATCTATATAATAATTAGGTGCTTTTTAGGTGCTACATAGGGCCTCTAATTAAAAATTAGTTGCTCCTCTAGTTTTTGAGAAAATAAAAAAAAAACTAAGGGATTGCTAGGTTTATGAAAGCTAGTAGTCCCCTATAGTGAAAAATATTTTTCCAAAAATTACTTTTGTAACAAAATTAGGTGCTTCTTCGGTGCTCCTAAATAGTCGAAGAAAAAATAGAATTGATTAATTATTAACTGAGTTACAGATTTTTTTTAACTATTAGGGGACTGCTGGCTTTACGTTTACATAGGATACCTAATCAAAAAAAAAAAAAAAAAGCAAAGGGACTGCCAGGTTAATGAAAACTAGCAGTCCCCTAATAATTAAAAAAAATCTGTAAGTCAGTAATTAATTAATCAATTATATTTTTCTTCGGCTCAGTGTTGCCACTTCTGACGGAATAAAGTCGGTAGATTCTTGGAGAAATAATCGGTAGTTTTCGTTTAGAAATCGGTAGCTAGGAGGTTGCGTTATATGACGTTATTTCCGCCACAATTTGCTTAGGTAGGTATACACTGTGTCCGTAAAGTAACGGATAAATTCATTATTTTGAAAACGGTAGAATTTTTGAAAAATCGCTCAGACACGTCAATTTTGTTTTTTTGTTTGAAATATTTTGATATATTTTTTATTATACAGAGTGTCTCAAAAATAGCTCCGCTGCTGTCAACTTTGTTTTTTCAAATGGATCAACCTGCATATTATGACATTTATGGATTCTGCGGGAAATTTTTGACATATTTCATGTACAATGTCATATACCTATCTTCAACTGTTTCGGAAATATTGACAGTTGAAAATTGATTTTTTTGCAACTTTGACAGGTTGTAAAACTTGAACGGTTAATTTTAGAGGAAAACTGATTTCACATTCCTATCTTAGATTTTCATGAACTATCATTTGACACCAACTTTGAATTTACCCGGAGATTGAATTTAATCGAAATTTTTAATCACGCATTAACTTCAAAGTTGGTGTCAAATGATAGTTTATGAAAATCTAAGATAGGAATGTGAAATCGATTTTCTTCTAACATTGACATTTACAGCCTGTCAAAGTTGCAAAAAAAATAAATTTTCAACTGGCAATATTTCCGAAACAGTTAATGATAGGTAAATTTGTCAAAATTTTTTCGCAGAATCTATAAATGTCATAATATACAGGGTGATCCATTTAAAAAAACAAAGTTGACAGCAGAGGAGCTATTTTTGAAACATCCTGTATAATAAAAAATATATCAAAAAATTTCAAACAAAAAAACAAAATTGACGTGTCTAAGTGATTTTTCAAAAATTCCACCATTTTCAAAATAATGAATTTATCCGTTACTTTACGGACACACTGTATAAAACCAGTCAATAAATTTAGTAATTTAGTCATAATTTTATTGTGCAATGTGATTCCTATTTCTTCGTAGACAAATCAGAGAATCATAGTTAAACTTTAAATTATTATGTAGCAATCTGGGGGGCTTTATCTGAAATTGATGCAACTTTGCGTGCTCACGCAAATATGACGCAGATGACGTCAGTTGCGATTGAAAAAGTGCATGTCAAATAAACCGTGCACAAATTTTCAATCGCGAATGACGTCATTTGCGTGTGCGCAAAATTGCTTCAATTTAAAATAAAGCCCCCCAGTAAAAATTTCAAAATTTCAATGTAGGTCACCCGCTATCACATATATTAGGCAATTTTTCGCGAGCATTCCGAGCATAAACAAACATAATCTGATAATGCTCAGATGTTGTGTCAATTGTATCATACTCCCTTAAGTGTGCGTTCACATTGACACCGCTCGAGCGGTGAGCGTTGCGCGATGCCGCTGTAGTAATGCCCAAAAATAATTTTAACACTATATTTCAAAAAAGCATGTACACAATAGAGCGGCGCGACCCGCGGTGTTAACATGTCCATTTGAAATATAATGTTAAAATTATTTTTGGGCATCGCTACAGCGGCATCACGCAACGCTCACCGCTCGAGCGGTGTCAATGTGAACGCGCACTAACTCCCTCACCATCCAATTCTGGGCCTGCGAGTGACGTCACTACCAGCAGGTTATAGTGATGACGTAACCCGCAGACCGCGATGGAATGCTTAGGATTTAGGCTGTGCTAGTGAGTTAATTTTTTTGTCGATTTTAAATGTGGAAAACGTGATTTTCGGTCTGTTCTCATATTTGTTGTATTACCAACAAATTGCAGAAAAATCGTGAGAAAATTATTTAAAATCGGGAGATTGGTAGACTCATTTGAAAATCGGTAGATCTACCGATAAATCGGTAGAGGTGGCAGCGCTGCTTCGACTATTTAGGAGCACCTAAAAAGCACCTAATTCTGATACAAAAGAAATTTTTAGAAAAATATTTTTCCCAATAGGGGACTACTATAGCTTTCATAAACCTAGCAATCCCTTAGTTGTTTTTGATTTTCTCAAAAACTACAGGAGCACCTGATTTTTAATTAGAGGCCCTAATTAGCACCTAAAAAGTACCTAATTATTATACAGGGTGTCCCAGGGAAAACAGTCCACCCCGATTTATTGGATTTGGGATGAGAATCTGGGAAAATGCTCGGACACGTCAATGTTTGATTTGAGGGGGAACTATTTTTCAGTTTTTTTCATCCCCGTGGCTTCAACCCCCTAGCTAGGGGGAGAACAACCCTTCAAATTTGGATAGGGAATAGGGGTCGTGTCATACCTCTTTTTAAAGGTCTCAATGAGTTTTTTATGGCCCTAGAATTTCGTCATATTATTTTCATCCGTAACGGAATGACAGCTTGTCAAAATCTTGAAAATAGACTATTGTTTTAGTGGGAGAAAAAAGCGATACTTACCTCCCTTAATAAAAATACTTGAGAATGAAGTTTTTTATTACTATATTATCAATTAGGTGTACACGGAAATTGTAAATTGTAAGTATTTTTATCAAGGGAGGTAAGTACCTACTAAAACAATGGTCTATTTCCAAGATTTTGACAAGCTGTCATTTCGTTACGGATGAAAATAATGAGTCGAAATTCTAGGGTCATAAAGAACTCGATGAGACCTTGAAAAAGAGGTATCACACGACCCCTATCCCCTATTCAAATTTGAGGGGTTGTTCTTCCCCTAGCTAGAGGGATGAAGCTACGGGGATGAAAAAAACTGAAAAATATTTCTCCCTCAAATCAAAAATCGACATGTCCGAACGTTTTTCCAGATTTTTATTTGAAATCGAAAAAATCGGGGTGGACTGTTTTCCCTGGGACACCCTGTATAGTTCATTCATATAGTCATTTTTGTCGATTGTCTAAAGTCGGTTTGGGATGCCAGTTGTTTTTTGGGGTGAAACAACAACCCTTTTTGTTTCCCACGAGTGTTTATACAACTTCTCAGTTGTACTGAGAGGAGGTCCCGCCAAAACCACCCCGCTGGTTCTTTAAGGAATGAGCTTGCGAACCAGCAGCCTCCAGAAAAAAGGAAGTGTGAATTGACGTCGTTTTGTGAAATGGGATCAGGGCTCCAACTCGGTTTTTTGAAGTCCGAGGGGCCAAAGTTGTATTAACGCGGTGTCTAGAAACTTTTGTTTGCAACGACAGTACGTTGAACTCGGATGTCGAACGGCTTTGAGAAGTTAAGTGACAAATAAAAACACGGCGTAACAGAGACGATGCACGAGGTCCAAAAACCAGTCTAACCTCTCAAGGTTCGTGTGTTTTTGTCAAAGTTTCGTCTGTACTGTAGTGAAAAAGAGGTTTTTCCTAAAAAGCCTCCATAAAATTCAAGCTAGAGGTAGTTTCAACTTTTGTCTTCTTATAAAACTCTGTTCTAACTCGGCAGCAAATCTAGCCTTTGTCTTTATTTTGAAATTGAAATTTTTCCGTAAAAAATTTCAAGAAAAAAATCAAGCTGGGGGTAGTTTCGACTTTTGTCTTCTTATAAAACTCTGTCCCAACTCGGCGAAGCTATCTTGCTTTTAAGTTAAATTGAAATTGAGATTCTTCGTAAAAAAGCCTCAAGAAAAAGTCAAGCTTGGATAATTTAGACTTTCTAGTCTATATTCAAATTCTGTCCCAAGTTGGTGAGCCTTTGGAGGAAGAAAATGAATATTTGATTTTTGAGTTTCAATTGGACGTGGAGCTTGCAGAAGAGAAGTGAATTTTCATAAAAATTCACGAAAATCGTCGAAGACGGACATGGGGGGCCGGAAACCTTTGAAGAAGTTGTCCAAAAATATATGTGACAAACGCGGAGGGGAGTCTAGATTTCTTAGACGGAAAGCTGCACGAATGTGCCGAATTGGAAACGCGGGGCTCAATTAAGAACCAGAAATCAAACGATGTTTTCTTTTTCTTCCAGACTGTTACCCTGAAAAGGGGATAGGTGGTAAGCTAATGCGAAGTACTCCCCCAGGACATCAACCTCCAGTGCGAGGATTAATGCGGGTTTCCTTGTGACGAACTGAGCTTGTCCGAAGCCTTATTTCGCGCTCGAGGGGTGTATCGGTGGCTCTCTCTCTTCTTTCTTCGTACCTATGAGGTAGCTCGTACCAACAACGCTCTGAGAGGTTCATCTACCGGCCGCATAAAGCAGTCCCTATGGCAAGGTGACCCACAGCAGAACGTTGCTAGCCTAATACGCGCTCCTAAATGCCGGGTAAACGACACAGCATTTCTGTCGAAAAAATGAGGGGAGAGCTGTTCTTTTCTCTGGCGCAGAGAACGGGGCAGACAGGCGAGATGAAGTCTCAATCACTGCCTGAAGAGAACTAACTGACTCTGGTCTAAAAACGGCTCCCATGCAACGCAACAGTTTCAATCCATCTGTTCAAATTCGATTTTTGGCACTATGTATTTGTAACGAAAATCATTCACAATCCACTCATCTTTATTTCACATCATAGTTGTAAAGCAGTATTGGATTGGATAAACCTAATAAATAACTTTGATTTACAATTCAAACTATATTATGTATATCAATTATTACTAGTCATTGCCTAGGGATCTACTGCAAGATATTTAGAATTTACTTGTATCAATTAATTATTAACTTATAATTAATATGAACGTGTATTTTTTAGGTATGCGCAAAATCATAGTCTCGACAAGTATAGCAGAAACTTCAATTACAATCGACGACGTCACCACCGTGATAGATTGTGGCTATATAAAAATTAGCAATCTCGACTCCGAAACCGGAATTGAAACTCTGCAACCAGAATTCGTATCGCAAGCCAACGCCGCTCAGAGAAAAGGTCGCGCTGGTCGCGTGAAAGCTGGAGTTTGCTTTCATTTAGTCAACAAATATCGTTACGATCTTTTAGATCGATTCTTAAAACCTGAAGTATTAAGGAAACGGCTCGACGATGTCATTTTGCAACTGAAAATGCTGCAACTTGGCGATGCGGAGCCGTTTTTAGGCAAACTTATGGACCCACCGGAACCTCAATCGGTCCAATCATCCGTTTATCTTTTGAAACGATTGGGAGCTCTCGATGAAGAAGAAGGTTTAACTCCATTGGGCTATCACATGGCTAAAATATCTGTGTCAGCTCAATGCTCAAAAATGCTCATCTTGGCTTCATTGTTTAGCTGCATCGATCCTGTTTTATCGGTGGCAGCTACTTTGAGTTTCAAAGATGCGTATCATCTTAATCTCTCCGACGCTAAAGATGCTGACAAAAAAAGATTTGAATTGTCAAAAGGCAGTAATAGTGATCACATGACCATGCATTATGCGATAAGAGGCTTTGAAGATGCTAATCGATCACGTGAGTTTTGCCATAGATATTATTTGAGCTGGCCCATTTTGAAGATGTTGATAGATATGAAAAAACAATTAGCCCAGCAATTGTTCGATATGAAGTTTACCGACAATTCAAACCCGAGGCATTTTTCTAATAATTACAATAGTGATAATACAGGATTGGTTAAGGCTATTATTTCAGCAGGCTTGTACCCTAATGTGGCCATACTTGCCAACAGACGGAAATATACGAGTATGAAATCTATTACTAATGAAACCATGAAGTTTCATATGAAATCAGTGTTGTGTCAAATGCCATCTTACCCATCAAATTTGTTAGTTTATCACAATAGAATAAAAACGGCGAGTCTTTGTGTTCACGATGCTACCATCATATTTCCTTTACCCATTGTATTTTTTGGGGATCAATTCAAAATACATAATGACGAAAATGATTTCGTTTATTGGAGTGTCAGTTAATGGCAATATGAGGTTTACGTGCACTGAAAGCACTTCTGCCATTATTTATAGGCTTAAACAACGTGTTAATCAGATTTTGGAATGGAAAATTTCAAATCCAGGATATATTGATTGGATGAGTGACAGTTTTGAAGTACAAATTTTGAGGTAATAATAAAAATGGCATAAATCCTAATAATATTGAGCATCTTCTAACAAAAAAATTTACTTTCAGGGTAATAATGGATTTGATTGCTAATGAAGATGAGGAAAAACAGGATCTTAGCGACTTTGATGATAAATAAATTTATCAAATATAAAAATTGTTTAATGAGAAATAAATAATTATTTTCCGCAAACCTCAAAAAATGACGACTTTTTTAACCTCAATTCTTAATGTTGAAGTTTGACTTCACAGACGTCATTTTTTTGGTTACTTTTTTGTACGCTCACGGCCAGACACAGAAATTTCCTAGATTCCTTCGCTTTAAACACCATTTGCGGAAAAAATCGTATGTTTTATTCGGAGAATAGTTATTTTTGTATCAAGGGCACGAAATGCTACTTTGGTGATCGAGATCTGATTTTTTTAACGAGGCGCAGCCGAGTTGAAAAAATAGTCGAGTGATGGCAATGTTAAAAAATCAATACCTGGGAAAAAAAGTGTCACTTCGCAAACTGTCATGAGTGTGCGAACATCATCATTTTTTGACAGTTGTAGAAAAAAGTACTTATTTGTGGCTCATCTAAAATTGTCACAACATTTAGTCTCGCCACAAAAAGTATCACTTTTACTCCTAATAAAACAATATACTATTTTAATTACGTTTTTTAATACTTCAATAATTTTTAGCAATACCTAAGTATTTTCCTTTTTTCCCCTGACAACTTGGAAGGAATTGGCAGAATATTAGGCTGATACTCTAGTTTCCAGAGCCATATTGTCGTATCTAGGATAATAGGGCATCTCTCTTCGGTAAATTAAACTAATTCATTTTCCAAAAAAGTTCATGGATTACAGGAAGACCATCGATCACGTTACATGTAAATAACATTGCAAGTTGAACGAATTATTAAATTATTAATTTGTACGGACATGGAACTGAAATCCATAGAAGGTCAATGACGACGCCAGGTCATCGGTAATTATTACTAGTTATTGTATTTAGAAATCACGTACCATGGTGGCTCGACTAGCATAAAATAAAGTAGTTTTGGAAGATGAGTTATCAGTCTCAAAGAGTGAATTTTCCGCGATAGTAGTTAGTAGTAATAGTGCCTTTTAGTCTTGTGACAATAAAGAAATTGCACAGACCTAAGAAGCTTTGGACGTCTTTAACACTTCTAGGTTGAGGAAAATGTTTCACCGCCACTAGTTTTTCCTCGTCTGGGAGTAGTCCGTCTTCGGAAACCGTATACCCTAAAATGTTTATTTTTCCCTGTATGTACTTGCACTTTGTTGGCTTCAATGTTAATCCGACCTCTCTAAGTCTATGAAATACCCTATGTAACTTGATTATATGCTCCTCGAGTGTTCTGAGAATATTATTATATCATATTATTATTATAATATCATCTGAATATACCAAAATGTCCACCACACAAAACGTGGCAGGGGCATTACAGACCGAAGCATAGTACGTTGAATTCATATAATCCATGACCCTGGCATTAAAACGCCGTATATTTCTTCGAGTCTTCTCTAATTTTAATCTGCCAAAAACCACTAAACATGTCCAAAGAGGAGAAATACCGTGCGTTCCCTAGATACCTACGTTAAAATATCATCAATGTTAGGTATAGGCCAATTCGATTTCGCCTTAAGTTGCATCGTTTGTTTAGTTTTCTGAATAATTTCGACGTTGATATAAACAAAAAACCCTGCAGTGTCTATGACACATGCCCGCCAAATGCAATTTTCATTTGGCATGGGTTCGTCTATTATGTAGACATGTTTTGTTTTCTACGACATTTCGACTTTTCGTAATGTTGTATAATAAAATAACCTTGCATGGTCTATGACTCATGCCCGCCAGATTACTTATAATTTGGCATAGGTTTGTCTATTTTATAGACACAAAAGTTTATTTGATCAGTCAACTATAAAAGAACGAACGAATGCTGCATAGTTTTTGACTTTTGCCTACCACAGTGTTGGACAAACACTGGAAAGAATTTCTTACTTTACCTAATAGGCGCCTGGTTTTTATTTATAGGCGACGAATTCTGACGGCCTCATCGAGCTCGAGTGATACAAGTAGCTCCTCCCATTCTAGTTCCTCGACCTCAGAAAACCCTAAACCACGCAGTGCGCTAGGCAATATCATGGGCGCGGACCCCACAAATAATACCTCATTTGGCCCAGATATCGCTGAGGAAGTAGTACTCAGATGGAAGAGCTACCTGTCTGTGGGGGCAGACAAAGAAGTAAAAAATAAGCTTTTTGATAAGTACAAAATTCCAGAAAATTGCCAAATTCTCCAAGGGCCCAAGCTAAATCCTGAAGTGCAAGCTCTGCTATCACCCATCGAGCAGAAAAAAGACACTTTCCTCTTGGAGTTGCAGACAGTGATGGGCAAAGGCTTAACAGCCTTAGAAAAAGTGCTTTCTCAACTGGCTAAGGAGAAAATGGAGAACCGGACGAAAACCTGGTGGGACTAGCAGAATCGGCGAAGTTGTTTTGCATTGCGCACAACACCGTCTCGGCGCATCGGAAGATCCAAATAAACCATCATTTCAATCCAGAAACACAAAAAATAGCAGCTGCGCAATCTGCGGATCTGCTTCTTTTTGGTGACGATTTTGCAGAAAAATGCAAAATGCTAAAGCATTCAAAACCACTGCCAAAGAACTTCAAGCCACCGCTTCCACGTCAAAAAACTCCCCCAGCTCGTGCCTCGAAAAAACGGTGGAAATCAACGAAATGGCAGGACAAAGGATCAGGGAAGCACGAGGGAAAATACAAACCACGCTACTACAGAGCGAGGAACAGACCCCAGTTCAAGCCCTTCAAGAAGGAGGGGAGGAAGTACTAGAGGTAAGCAGCAATATGCAATGTGCAGGAAGAATAAAATATTTTTCCTACAAACGTGTTAAAAATGCAATTTTTAACACCCCCCCGAAGCATTAAAAATGTTACTTTATCGCACTAGTGCCATAAAGTCTTTATAGCACTAGTGTTAAAAATGAAACATCAAATTTTGAGAGCGAACGTCAAAAAAAGTTTGTATTTTTAGTTGTTTACATTGATATAAATGGTGAAATTTGAACAACTGGAGGTAGCCCGATTGGCCGCCTCATCTATATTTTTCAAGGGATCGATGCAGCCCTCTTTTTCTTCTGTATTTTGTTGCATTTTTAGCAAAAAGCATTACTGACCACGACATACTTTCAAAAAACTGACAAGACATTCCATTACCTGTAAAACAAGGTGCTGGTTATTTGGATTTTCTGACAAATGTTAAATTCAATAATTTTATGTAGGAAAGATGCTACGAATTTATTATTCATTTAAAAATCCAATTTGTTACTGGTTATTGCCGTTTGTAGAAAAAATATTGTATGATATTTCTGTTAAAACTTATGTGAATTGCAGAATTCGCTTCGCTCATTCTGCAAACTTTCACATGCGTGCCTTAAAAATGTACTTTTAACACTCATATCATAAATAACTATTCTGCACGAGTGGAGGAAAATAACAACCAATAAACAGGTGCTAAGTTGGGTAATGGGCTATAAAATTCCGTTCGAAAGTAAACCTTTTCAAGTTTACCCGCCGAGACCTCCAAAACTTACAGAAAATGAAGTCAAACTTTATTCAAAAAGCATCCAACATTTATTGGAGATAGGTGCAGTTAAGACTGTTAAAAAATGCGAAAACCAGTTTTTATCAGGGTTTTTTCTAAGGCAAAAAGATAGTGGAGAATACAGGTTCATTTTGAACCTTAAGAGACTAAATAGGTTTGTATCACCTCCTCACTTCAAATTAGAAGATATAAGAACTGCAAAAAACTTGATAACAAAAGACTGTTTTCTTGCCTCCATAGACTTAAAGGACGCATATTTCTTAGTTCCCATTTCTGAACAGCATAAAAAATATTTAAGATTCGCCTTTCATAAACAGATTTTCGAATTTCAATGCTTGCCATTTGGCTTAGCAACTGCGCCTTTCTGCTTTACCAAACTGCTGAAACCTGTGTTCTCCTTCTTAAGGGAACGACAGTTTTTGTCTGTCGTCTATTTAGATGACTGTCTTTTATATGGAACCACCAGTGTTCAGTGTGAACGAAACATAGTAGAAACCACTAAACTACTTAAAAAAACTAGGTTTTCTCATCAACGCAGAAAAAAGTCATGCAATACCTACACAAAACATTGATTTCCTAGGTTTCACGTTAAACAGAAAGCGCATGGAAATATCAATTACGCAAAAAAGAATAGCTAAAATAAAAACAAGTATTCAACATTTTCTTAAAAAGAATAGGGCTAAAGTTAGAGACTTTTCTAAAGTTATAGGATGTTTAGTGGCGGTATGTGTGGCAACTGAATACGGTTGGTTTCATCTAAAATCTTTGGAGCGAGAAAAATACATTGCACTTAAAGAAAATGGGGGAAAACTACAACGCAAAAACGGTCATAAGTCCTGATATTAAACATGAACTTCGGTGGTGGCTAAAACAGGTAAACTGTGCCAAACAAAGTATCTTACAACCAGATTATATAGTTACAATTTTTTCGGACGCCTCACGTTCCGGGTGGGGAGCATACTCCAATCATACAGAAACCAAAGGGTTTTGGGTAAAAAGAGAACAGTCCGAACACATAAACACTCTGGAGCTCAGGGCCCCTTTTTATGGTCTAAAAAGTTTTGCTAAAAATTTAAAAAATTGCCACATTCTACTAAAAATTGATAACAAAACCGCCATTTCTGTTATAAACAAAATGGGCAGTATAAAATATAAAAAACTAAATAATCTAGCAAGGCAGTTGTGGAAGTGGTGCGAGGCCAGGCATGTATTCGTTTTCGCGACCTACATAAATACCCTGGACAATGTTATAGCCGACAAAAACTCCAGAACTAAAAACGTCGATACGGAATTCTCTTTGAATGATGAAATTTTATTGGACATCACTAGAAAGTTAGGTGTACCCGAAATAGACCTTTTCGCCAGCTATCTAAATAAAAAATGTGAGCGTTTTGCATCACGGTTTCCAGACCCTGAGTCGGAGTTCGTAGATGCTTTTACAGAAAATTGGAAAAATTTGAAAGCCTACATTTTTCCTCCTTTCTCTCTTCTACCAAAAATCCTAAACAAAATTGAAAATGACCAAGCCGAATGCCTTGTAGTTTTTCCTATTTGGAAAACCCAACCATGGTATCCTAAATTAGAATCTATGGTCCGCTCTGAGGTTGTTATTTTAAGCCCAAGGCCTAATCTGCTTTTATCCCCTTTCAGGGAGCCCCACCCCCTGTGGAAGAACCTTATCTTGGGAACAGCCATTTTATCAAGCTTGCCTTTAGCAAGAAAGACATCCCAAGCGACACCATCGATGTTATGGACTGCTTCGATAAGTAAAAACACACTAAAACAATACAACTCCACCTTCTCAAAATGGTGGGGCTTCTGTGGGTGGAAAAATTGAAACAATCCTGCAGCCTAATGTGCAGGAAATACTCTCCTTCCTGAAAACTGAGTTCGACAAAGGTGCCCAGTACTCGACACTTAATACGCATAGGTCGGCTTTAAATATGGTCTGCGATGTGGGAAAGTCGGAAATCGTCGAAAGATTTATGAAAGGTATCTTTAAGCTGCGTCCTCAGTTTCCCAAATATCAAGAAACCTGGGATCCACAACCAGTTCTTGCTTATTTGAGCTCATTACACCCCCTAGATAAACTGAGCCTGGAACTGCTAACTATTCGAATGGTTCTTCTCTTAGCCTTTTGTTCGGCACAAAGAGCCCAAACCTTTTCCAAAATCAGGTTGAGTATTGTCAAGATCATTGAAGAAGGCATCGAAATAAGTTTTTCCGATATCCTCAAAACATCAGGTCCGAAAAAAACGCAACCGCTGCTCAGATTCCCTTTCTTCAAAGAAAACCCTGAGCTGTGTATTTGTTCCACTCTACTACACTTTCTATAATAGAAAGAACAGATATAATCAGAGGGAATGAAGACCTACTTATTTTAACCATCAAAAAACCTCATAAGCCTGTCACATCGCAGACCATAAGTCGATGGATCAAAAAAGGTTTGAAAAATGCTGGAATTGATCCAAAATTTAAGGGGCACAGCACAAGACACTCTGCCTCTTCTGCAGCCCTTAGAGCTGGCACCTCAATCGAAAGCATCAGAAAGGCTGCGGGATGGTCAGAAAAAAGTGAAACCTTCAACAGATTCTATAACAAACCTTTATGTACAAAAGAATTTTTTGCGAAT